CAGCGACACACACAGAGAGAGCCTACACAGAACAATACCTGAACAACGATAAACAAGAAGTGGCCGCTGCAGCACTTAGACATAGGGCATGTACCCTGAGGAAAATTTTAATTTTAAAATTTGAAAAAGGAAAAGAACAAAAATTTTATAGATATTTTAACTTGAATTAAAGTTTTAAAAAAGTGCTAATTAGAAATCAAAATTAACGTGTGTAGGTTAACAAACATTTTATACAATTACAAAGACTGGTGATTTTAAATTTTAACAAGCAGTGTAACAGCTACGTAAGAATACACACCTGATGATGGCCATTTAGGGCCGAAACATGTAGTGTGGAGTGAGGGGAAAGAAGAAAGAACTAAATTAAATTGTTACACTTAAGACGGTGTTTATCTTACACATAATGTGCGAGTGTAACAGGATGCTCAAATATAATGTGACATGCTGAGCTATGAGCCCTCCCCCACCCCCCGCCAGCCGTGATGCGCCGAGCGAAGCCAAAGCGAGCCGATGTTAGCCGAGTCCTAGGATCCTGGTCGCTAGGCAACGCGAGTCAACAGCGGTGACGTCACCAAGTAGTAACAGCGGTTACTTCCGCTAGCGCCAGGCAACAAGGGTGCCTATTACGTGGCTGTATTGTCCGATCGAGGCTACATAGGGAGCAGCGAAGGCTATTCACAGTTAGTTGTACTGAGTCAGTCAGTGAGTCCTGGAGCTACCGCCGAGTTAGCCAGCAACTAGTCAGTTGTATTCTGGCCTTTGGAGTGTACTATTTGTGATACTGCAGATAGCAGTAACCGTGGATCTGTAATTTGGGCGATTGTAAGTGCGAATGTGAAATAAAATTTGCTATATCAATTACATCGTGAAGTTATTTGTCGCGATATACGCCCGACGCGTGACAATAATATTGTAGTTATTATTGTTGTAATTGTTTGTGATAAGGGTTAATTCATTACAGTATAATTACATTGGACATTATCGATTGTCTGAAGTATATTTTATTATACAGCATTTTGGCAGTTGATCTGCTTCTGTCTTGAGGTGGCTGGTTGTGGTTAAACTGACAGATTCTTTTACTGCTTTTGTTTTTTTAAATTTAGGCAGTTGGTAGGATCTGACTCAGCACCCTTTGAGCATAGCCTTGTAGGCTAAAAACTTGTGATCTGTTGCAAAGCCTCTGTGCTGACCTCTTACAGTTTAAGCCCTAGGATGTTCTGTCTTGAGAAGTTTCTTTGAACATGTATTTGAATTGCTATGGCAAAGTAAAGCCAGATTAAACATTCCTACATATTCTACATGAACAGGGAGCAGTTGTGGACAGCTACTGCTGGAAGGAAGCACATCATTATTCATTTTTATTCCCAAGTTTCAGTGTAGCCCCCCCTTTCAGTTTTTATAGTTACAACACTGAGCATTGAAATTAACTTGTGCAGGACCTGCTTATGATGAAGGGTTGTCTGATGATAAGAAGGGGTCAATTTATGGTGGACTGCCTATTGTCAGGCATGTTTGGAAATGTGAAGTGCTTCAGCAGATTGCTATCAAACTTTCCCATGGTGGAATGGTGCAGAATTCCGTACTTCCACATGATCCAGAACTATAGACTAATCAGAACCAGCATGGTGTCAGAACATAAAAATTAGAAGAAGGTTGAAGGTTTAAAGGTATAGAAATTCATGGGGTTTGCTTTGAAGTATTTGCTTGCTATGAAGGTACTCGGGATACACAGTGAACTGAAACAAGAAGCAATTGCCTGTGTCTGTGAACATTGGTTAGAATTTGCTGGGTATGTCACAGGAATGATAGGTCTATGATATGTGGAAGAGGCCTCTGTTCATGTGAATATTCAGATGGGTCACTTTTGGACACTGGTTACCAGATTGTAACAATATATTTTCCTTAATGTTTCAGGTCTTCTAAAACGCGGATGTATCAAAATCTTCAAGGCTTGCCTTGCCTCACTAAGAATGCATGGCTTCAGCAGAAGGCAAGGCAGTACCGACAAGTATCGCATGCCACTGTGGAGAGCACCGTCATTTGAGGTTCAAGACAGAGTGTAGGATGACAAACTTGTCCACCTGCATCTTGACATGGTACGGTCATGCTTGTCATTTTGATCACTTAGTCATAATGCAGACTTGACTGAATTTTTGTGCTTTTAAATTTAAATGTTATCTTCTTTATAACTAAAAGGAAAGTATTATGAAATGTAACTGGTAGACTGAAATATTGGGTTCAGTCTGAGATGACTAGATAGAAAAGAATGTGTCCTTTGTTTACGGGTGAGTCTTTGTTATTATCCAAATTTGATGCATACCTTTAACGGATGAATGTCATACATACGTGGTGTGTTCAAAAAGTATTGTGACATGTTGCACAATGGAGAACCCCTCCCTACCCAGCAGCAATGTGGCAACTCAGGCCACAGTGACGTGGCGGATGAGTCAGCGCTCCCCTCCCCCCTCCGCACGGTAACGTAACGCGCAACGCGCGGTGACGTAAGACGGCATGAGGTAACAGCGTTGCTAGGCTATACGCAAACACAGCGATGTTGCACCAATTCCTACTGTGACGCGACACGCAACGACGCTGTTGACGCGGGCAACAGATAACAGCGAACAGAATAAAAGCCGGCTGAGCAGCAAGCGAGAGCCAGTGTGTTATCAACAGTTCTCAAGGCAGCAGCCTGCGAGTAGAGTTGAAATATAGCAGCAGTCTCGAGAAGGAGACCCGAACGCGTGGTTACAAGGTTTTATGTGACAGTGTGCGATAACTAAGAAGTCAGCGAGTGGAAGACTTATTGTGTGCTTTTGAGACTTTGTGTGTGCTGTAATACAGTTATATTTGGAGTGTGTAATTCAGTGAGACTTGTATAGCTCCCGTGCTATTAATACGTGAAGACTCTTGAAGATAGTGTTAAGAGATTTTGTTGTAGGGTTTGTAAAGTGTGGAAACCCGTAACATTGTTATCATTAATTGTAGCCGATATTTGTAGATTGTTAAATAAACCAATCAACAATCTCTACGGCTTATTCAGTAACGAAACACGTTACACTGGTGTCAGAAGTGCTTACGGACTTACACACGCCTTAACTCACGACAAACTATTGAAACGAGTTATTCTGCTACAAAATGGAGAAACAGGATATGGAAAAATTGTTCGAATGCCTAGTGGCAAAATTAGACGTCAACCAAAAACAAATCGATGTCATGCTGCCAAAACTAGATGCCTACCAAGTATCGAGCCTTCTTTTTTCCCACGTAAACCAATGAAGCGCGGGAGGCTCCCTTCAGTGGAGATGTGGAGGGGACATTCATGCGCAGTCATGAATTTTTTCCTGCCCACAGAAAACGTCAGTCACTGGCAGTCAGCCTATGAGTGAGGACATGTGGTGAGCACTTGTTGGATTCCAGTAAGGTGTAAAATGACGTAACAACATGAACAGCGATATTGCGTCAAATTTTGCAAAAGCTTGGCGATACCCAAGTGGAAACCATTCTCAAGATTCAACAGGCTTTTGAGGACGATGCCATGAGCAACTATAAAGGAGTGGTACAACTACTTCAAAGATGGCCGCACATCAGTGGACAGCGAACCGCGTTCAGGCAGACCCTCAACAAGCCGAAATGAGAATGTCATTGAGCAAGTGCGGACTGTTGTCATGGAGGACTGTCGTATCACAGTCTGAGAACTTGCAAATGAGATAGGGGTAAGCATTGGATCGGTGCATTCAATTTTGATGGATTTGGGCATGAGGAGAGTGTCCGTGAAATTCATACCAAAACTGCGCATCTGATTCAGACTCGTCACCAAACACAACATCCCTGTGGTTTGTCAGGCTCCCTACTCCCCCGACATGGCTCCGTGTGACTTTTGGCTATTTCCCAAGCTGAAAATTCTGCTGAACAGAACCCGATTTGAGTCAAGAGAAGACATCATGCCGAATGCGACGGCCTGGCTGATCACCATTCCAAAAGACGCGTTCCAGAAGTGTTTCCAACAATGGCGGAAGCGCTGGGAGAAGTGTGTGCATTACCAAGGAGACTACTTTGAAGGGGATTAAGGTTTTGTACCTCCAAATCAGTAAATGTATTTCTGTCGACCAAAGGTTCGATACTTTTTGAACACACTATGTATATGCATCAAGCAGCAACCCATGTTGGCCGAATGTCTTATATATATGACCCAAGACACGTGCACTCTTTGGGAGTGCTGACACTTTGATCATGGGTTTGAAACCAAAACAAACCCACACAAGGTCATGTCAGAGGTTCATTTGTTAGCTCTGAACAATGAAATTGTTTATCTTTGTCCTGGTTTCGAAACTATTTACATTTATATATGACTGTTTATGACCTGGTCAGCCAAATATAGCCCAGCTTTGTTCTGAGAACTGAAGAGGAAATATTCGTCAGTGCTTGCAGATCAGTGCTTCCAGAGCTTTCAAGGAAGTGTGACGTATTCAAGGATTGGTTTTCAGTGGCGAATTATCAGTTAGGAAGTCAGTGTTGGGTTGTGTAATATTTCTTTATCATTTTGAATTGTCTCATTTTGGTCCGCTGCACTATGAAGTTAGAAAGTTAATAGAATTTTCCGTCCAATGCGGCAGTAGAGGTCACATCACTTTTATTATTCTTGCCTTATATGTTTCGGTTTAATTAAAATCATCATCAGAGGCACTTTTCATACAGCAGGAGACAATGTTAATTAAGCTGGTTTCATCTTCACTTTCAGTTGTGTTATTCACAAATGTATGTTTCGTATTATTGTCACAGGTTTTAGTTACGACAGCACTCGTCGTATAAAAACATAAACATGTAGAATAATTGAGTATGCCAATAGGCTATACGCAGCACAGGAATTATCACTTTTCCCACAATAGATTCCTTATGTTTGGATTAAATCACTATTAAACTATTTAAAATTTAATTCAAATTGTCGTAAGTCGTTGTTGGTTGTCAATTCTTCCAGTGGATGGGAGTCGTCATTCTTGGTAGTGTGTGGGCTGTAAATACGAGTATATTGTGGTGTTAGCTTTTTTAACTTATATATTTATATATTATTTAATTTTGCACTTTAATTTATTATGAAGTTATGTCATACCTTATATGCGTTATGATGTTACGTGTGTGCTGTGTCCTTTGTACTGCTTTGAGGGGTACTACGTCTCATGTTTATAACCTGTGAGTATCTATGATGTAGACGAGAGTGTGTTCATGTGTAGTATAATTAGGTCAAACATGTTGTTTTGGTTGTTGGCTTCCCTTGTTTGTTTCTGTTCGTCTATTAGTTTATTGTGTTTATAGTGGTAATATATTTGAAACTCTTCTTTTATATTCATTTTATTTCCCTTTTTTGCCTTTCGATCATTTCCATAACTTTTGATATTGGTCCATATTGGTGTCGGTTATTTAGGATATGTTACACAGGATACATAGGCCAAACAGGCAGAAAACTGTTAACATGATATAATGAACATATAAGGAGTATAGGATTAAATAAAGATGAATCTGCCTATGCTCAACATATTTATGGCATGCCAAGATGCTCCAGGCCCTTCTGTTCAACCGCCTGACGTTACAATTGAAGAGATATATAACTTTTTGGCAATAATTATTCAAATGGGCCACGATCAATGGGACACCCTCAAAGATTATTGGTCAAGAGATGAGCAATACTACACTCCATTCTACCGTAACACCATGGTACGAGACTGTTTCTTCCATATTTTTAGGTTCCTACATTTTGAAAATAATGAAGCTCCTCCAAATCGAGATTACCCAGAGTATGATAGGCTCTGGAAAATTAGAAAAATTTTTGACAATCTCAACAACAAATTTTGTGAACTTTACAATCCAGCAGAACGTCTTGCTGTTGATGAAGTCATAGTGTTGTTCAAAGGAAGAGT